CCAACCACAAAGGACTCCGACTTTCTAGGCGTGAGCACTGAGACAGATGTGCCACTGAAGTTATTCACCTAGAACCCTATGGGACTGTGATCTGAGCCCAGACTCCCAGCATCTGCCTCAGCTTGTTAGGGGCCCCACCTACCACTCTTGATTAGGTTGGGGTAGGGTGAGGACTGGACACCTGCTCTGGGCAGATGCTTCTTGGGTGAGTCTGGTGAGCAGCGAATCAGGGAACCCAACATATCTCAAGGTCTGTCTTTGTTTGGAAGGTGGCATCTTTACATTTATGTAAACAGTGGATTTTATCCCCCAAACATCTGGTCAAACACTTTCATATGTATTGCCTAGGGGGATGGATTTTCTTTCTTTTTGTTGAGACAGGATCTCCTGTCTCTGCTGCTCTGGAACTCACTTTGCAGCTGCTGAGGACAAACTTGAATTTCTGACCCCCTGCCTCTTGCTTTCAGAGTCCTGGGATTACAGGCATAGACTACCGTGCAGGGCTTCCTGCATGCTAGGCATGCACTCCTCACTCCTGGTTTTATATATGTATATATGTGTGTGTGTGTGTGTGTGTGTGTGTGTGTATAAAACTTAATTTAAAACAAAAAGACTTGATGTGTAGCCCAGACTGGCCTTGGGCTCACAGCAGTTTTCTTGGCCAATATCACTCCTGGCAGTTCTCTTAATATCATCAAACATTACAGCAAGCCATTGTGGTTGCAAAATGACCTGTCATGTCATTAGGTTGGTTTATTCCTTCGTTTATTAGCTGTAATTTTTCTCTTCTCCTTCACTGCCCTGATGGGGGGTTTGCTTAGGTAAGGGAAAGGAAATTCTTGTTTTTTTTCCAATTATTCTGTGTAACACAGTGGTTTGGGTCACTAAGCATCTTTTCAGCATATGAACCTGTGTATGGCACATAGTTTTGTGTGTTTTGGAACACAGTTTTTCTTTTTAGTTTTCAGAGACCGGGTTTCTCTGCGTAGCCTTGGCTGTCCTGGAATTCACTCTGTAGGTCAGGTTGGCCTCAAACTCAGAGATCCGCCTGCCTCTGCCTCCTGGGTGCCGGAATTAAAGGTGTGCCCCATCACCGCCTGGCTAAGGAACACCATTTTTCTAACTCACTCTTCTGGCCAGTCAGGGCCACCTTTGGCCCCTTCAGAAATCTGATCACTTCCATTCACCTCTGGACTCGTGGCTATGGAGTATAACTGTCTTCTGGCCTTACGGTGTATGTTTCCTTGCCCAGTGATTTTGCCAAGAATAATTTGGAAGTTTCAAACTGAAACAAATTTTGATACCCTGATTTTACCCCAAATTGGCTTCTTCTGGAATTATGGGAGTGGAACCAGAATTGGCAGGCTGGATGGGAAACTCATGGTTGGAGTGGGCTGTCTCCTCTGCTCTCTGAAAGCCTTCTCTCTATAAAACACTGAGGCTGTGAGCAACATTCTTGGTTGAAGAGAACCCTTGCCAAGTCCCTTCATAGAGGCCATTTGGGATTGAGATCTCGATATGTACATGTTAGATTCTGGGCTCCTTGAGCTCTGTGCTGCTGTCCCCCACCTGATGCTGAGCTGGCTTTCTGCCTCTGAAGAAGAGATTCTTTGAAAACTGGCTGAACATCTTTATGACTCCTGTGTGAGCTGCACATAAGAATTCAGCACTCCTAGCGTGATCTCCATCATAGACTGCTTCCACCTCTCGACAGACGCTGAACCCAGGGCTCTCCACAGTGTGGACAAGTGTTTTCCACCTCTCGACAGATGCTGAACCCAGGGCTCTCCACAGTGTGGACAAGTGTTTTGCCGCTGAACCCAGGGCTCTCCACAGTGTGGACAAGTGTTTTGCCGCTGAACCCAGGGCTCTCCACAGTGTGGACAAGTGTTTTGCCGCTGAACCCAGGGCTCTCCACAGTGTGGACAAGTGTTTTGCCGCTGAACCCAGGGCTCTTCACAGTGTGGACAAGTGTTTTCCACTGAACTATGCTTAGCCTTCTGCTGTAGGCTTCTTAAGTCCCTGCTGGGTCCCTGAAAATGCTGTGCTCTCCACACTCTTGGGTCTCTGCACATACTGCTTTCTGTCAAGAATGCCTTGCTTTTCCTCTTGACATAATTGCCTTTTATTCCCTCTTCAAATACTGGCCTTCCTCAGGGGCTTCTCTGAGCCTCATGTCCCAGCTCTTGCTCTGTTATGTGAGCTCAGTGGTCATATCCACCTACATTTAGGCACTGGTTGCAGTTACGTTTTACCTTTTTGGTGTTTGTGTAATCATTTGATGATTGTTTGTCTGTCTCTGGAGCCTAACTAATAGTTAGGACTCACACGTCCTTCCATTTTTAGATATAGGAGCTCAGACAAGCTATTTTGCCTTGTTCTCATTTAACTGCAAAATGGGGGATGACACTTAACCCTACTTTGGAATATAGTCTTGGATGAGTGTGTGGACAGCTTGTAGAGACACCTCCAGGTGTACATGGGTTGTCTCTTTTTCTCTCTCTCTCTATATATATTAATTGTAATTATTATTATTATTGATTTTCGAGACAGAGTAATTGTTTTTATTATTATTTAATTGTTTTCCACTCCCATTCCTTCTTCCCCTCCTCCCTTCTACTTTCCCCCCTGCCCTCCATGCTCCAAATTTACTCCAGAGTTCTTGTCTTTTTCTCCTTTCTAAGTTGATCCATGTATGTCTCTCTTAGGGTCCTCTTTGTTGTCTTGGTTCTCTGTGGTTGTGGCCTGTAGGCTGGTTATTCTTTGCTTTAAGTCTGATATCCACTTATGTTTGTCTTTCTTGGTCTGGGTTACTTCACTCAGTGTGTTTTTTTCTAGTTCTGTCCATTTGCTTGCGAATTGGAAGATGTCATTATTTTTTATGACTGAGTAGTACTCCATTGTGTAAATGTACCATATTTTCTATATCCATTCTTCAGTTGCGGGGCATCTGGGTTGTTTCCAGGTTCTGGCTATGACAAACAATGCTGCTATGAACATGGTTGAGCACATGTCCTTATGATATGATTGAGCTTCCTTTGGGTATATGCCCCAATGTGGTATTGCTGGGTCTTGAGGTAGATTGATTACTAATTTTCTTAGAAACCACCATACTGATTTCCAAAGTGGATATACAAATTTGCACTCCCACCAGTAATGAATGAGTGTTCCCCTTATTCTACATCTTTTCCAGCATAAGCTATCATGAGTGTTTTTGATCTTGGCCATTCCGACAGATGTGAAATGGAATCTTAGAGTTGTTTTGATCTGCATTTCTCTGATGGCTGAGGATGTTGAACATTTCCTTAAGTGTCTTTCATCCATTTGAGATTCATCTGTTGGGAGTTTTCTATTTCGATCTATACCCCATTTTTTAATTGGATTATTTTGTATTTTGGTGTCCAGTTTCTTGAGTTCTTTGTTTATTTTGGAGATCAGTCTTCTGTCCTATGTAGGGTTGGTGAAGGTCTTTTCCCATTCTGAAGGCTGCCATTTTGTCTTGTTGACTGTGTCCTTTGCTTTACAGAAGCTCTCTGTTTCAGAAGGTCTTATTTATTAATTATTGCTCTCAATGATTATGCTATTGGAGTTATATTTTTGAAGTGGTGTCTTGTGCTAATATGTTCAAGTGTACTTCCCACTTTCTCTTCCATGAGGTTCACTGTCAGGTTTTATGTATGTTGAGGTCTTTGATCCATTTGGACTTGAATTTTCTGCATGGTGATAGATATGGGTCTATTTTTATTCTTCTGCATGTCAACATTCGGTTATGCTAGCAATGTTTGTTGAAGATGCTTTCTTTTTTTCATTTTATAATTTTAGCTTCTTAGGCAAAAAATCAGGTAGGTGTTCATAGGTGTGTGGGTTGATTTCTAGGTCTTCGATTCTATTCCATTGGTCCTCCTGTCTGTTTTTATGCCAATAAAAAGCTGTTTTCATAACTGTAGTTCTGTAGTAGAATTTGAAGTCAGGGATTGTGATGCTTCCATTTGTTCCTTTATTGTACAGGATGTTTATTTATATTTATGTATGTTTCTTGGCACATGGTAAGTGCTCAGGTAAGTATCAGGAAGTGGGTGAACAAGGTAATAAGACAGTGTTCAGAGAGTCTACAGGGCCATAAAACAGTAAAATCTGAGTGTAGCTCAGAGAAGAACACTTGCCTACCAATGCCACACAAAAGTATACACCTCTTTGTAAAGAGTGCCTGGTGCATAGTAGATGCTTAATAAAAAGTTGCTCAGTGAAAGAATGTGTAAAGTGGGAACAATGATAATAGCCCCACCTCACAAGTTGAGGTGGGAATGAAGGAAGGGATGGTCCATAGTACTTTATAGAGTGCCCAGCACATAGTAGGTGATCATAAAATACTTGTTGAATGGATGAATGAAGTGGGGCCAGTGTTACAAAAGATCATGGAGGAGGGGGCTGCTTGTTTTTCCCAGCTGCCCAGAACCACACAGAAACTGTATTAATTAAATCACTGCTTGGCCCATTAGCTCTAACTTCTTAATGGCTAACTCTTAGTTTAACCCATTTCTATTAATCTGTGTATCACCACGAGGTCGTGGTTTACCAGCAAAGATTCAGCGTGGCAGATCCATGGCATCTCCTGACTCCACCCTTCTTTCTCCCAGCATTCAGTCCAGTTTTCCCTGCCTACCTAAGTTCTGCCCTATCAACAGGCCAAGGCAGTTTCTTTATTCATTAATGGTAATCACAGCACACAGAGGGGACTCCAACATCAGGTTGCTATGGAGATGTAGGTTGAGATAGGTTTGTATAATATTGTGTTGTGCTTACATAGTAGGTACTCAGGAAACATTTGTTGGGTAAAACTGGAAGGATGAACTCTACCTCAGGAGAGCAGCCCATGTGGGGTGCAGAAGTGTGAGGGCCATGGCTCTTCGAAGGAAGGATGGTCAGCGCTGCCTAACTTTCCCAGGTCTGGAAAGTTAAGTTTGGATTTCTCTTATCCTCCTGTGCTTTCTGTCTCCTAGAATCCGTGCCCAGAATCCAGTGCCTCTTTCCTTTCCAGGATCACTTTCTGGTGGATTACAGGGTAAGGCTTCTCCTGATGGGGTAGGTAGTGGTACATGAGTGCAGTGGGTGAATAAATGCTTCTACACAGCCCAGCTCCCTGTTGTTCCCTCCCATACTGTCTTCAAGGTCACCAACTAGCCTCCAGTTTTATGAACTCCAGTGTGATAAGTACTTGGGCTATGAGGCTTGGGCTATGAGGTTGAAGTGTTTTATAACTATTTAATGTGGTATCCAGCAGGCTTGGTTCCAGAAAAGCATGCAAATACTACACTTTCTGATCGATGCTCAGCCCTCCACATAAAGCAGAGTAATATGCATTTAACCACAGCTGCCTTGTATTCTGAATTATCTCTAGATGCTGCATGACCCTAATGCAGTCTAAATAACTGACATGCTCTTCTGCATAAGGAATTACATGAAACAAAGCTTTTCTTTCTTTCTTTCTTTTTTTTTTGAAAAGTTAAAAATTCCTTAATTTTTTTTTATTCCTGGTACCACTACCACAATTTACAGGGCAATATACCTGATGTAAGAAAAAGAAAAAGAAAGACAAAGCTACAACAGATAAAAGACCTCAGGAATGTACATCTAATTGACACTACATTGCATTAATCAATAGCTGCACTTTTTGCAAACTGTGGCTCTGACAGTCCTGAACAAGAAGGGCCTCCTGTTTAAGCTGCGGTAACTTTTCTGACTATGGATCATCGCTCCTTCTGTGGCAGGTTTTTACAGTTCCTCTAATGCATTTAGGACGACTGTCTCAAAGTAACCTGCAGCTTTCCTGACAACTCCTCGCTCTCTCTCCTGCTAAGAACTGTAGCCCTTTTCTGCTGTTTTTTAAAACCTTCTGCTACCATATCCACCACTTCCACCACCAGATCCATAGCCTCCACCATAGGGACTGCCTGAGCTTCTTCCACCAGAACTGCCCCCTTTCATGGGTCCATAATTTGATTGCTGTTGTCCACTATAATTTCCAAAGTCACCTCCACCAAAATTTCCTCCTTCATTGTAACCGTCATATCCTCCTCCTGCACCACCACCATATCCACCTTGGTTTCCATAGCCTGGTCCATCACCACCATAGCCTCCTCTACTGCTGTAACCAGGACCACCACCATAGTTGCCACCATCACCACCTCCATAACTACCTCTGCTGCCACCACCTCCCCCACCACAGCCTCCTCTTCCACCAAAGTTTCCACCATGACCAAAATTACCTCCACCACCTCCAAAGTTCCCTCCACGACCCATAAAATTGCCAGATCCACCTCCACGGCCTCTCTGTGATTCAGCAGATTGCATCTCTTGTTTCGAAAGGGCCTTTTTCACTTCACAATTATGTCCATTAATAGTGTGGTATTTCTGAACAACAATTTTATCAACTGTGTTGTGGTCATCAAAAGTCACAAAAGCAAATCCTCTCTTTTTCCCACCCTGCCTGTCTTCCATAACTTCTATGGTTTCAATCTTGCCATACCTTTCAAAGTAGTCTCTCAGGTTACACTCTTCTGTGTCCTCTTTCCTACCACCAACAAAGATTTTCTTCACTGTTAAATGGGCACCAGGCTTTACAGAATCCTCTCTAGAAACAGCTCTCTTTGGTTCCACCACACGCCCATCAACTGTGTGTGGCCAAGCACACACTGCAGCATCCACCTCTTCAACACAAGAGGAGGTCACAAAACCAAAACCTCTGGAACGTTTTGTTTGGGGATCTCTCATTACCACACAGTCTGTAAGTGTGCCCCATTTCGCAAAATGTTCTCTTAAGCTATCATCTGTGGTTTCAAAGCTCAGACCACCAATAAACAGTTTCCTCAACTGTTCTGGTTCCTTTGGATCATGGCCCTCCATTTTGAGACCCGACTCACCTCTTCCAACTCAAGTTCAATATGTGACCGAAACAAAGCTCTTCAAACCCATAGATCAGAGTGGTGACTGCTGCTGTTGTTATTGTCCCCTAGCTTACAGTAAAGTCACATATGCACATCATAGGAAATACATAAAAAATACATGATCAATGACAAGAAAATACGTAGAATTGCCCGATATTTTCATAGGAAGCAGGAAAAGCAGGTTCAAAATCATCTTTGGTTATATAGAGAACTTGGGGCCAGTCTGGACTACATGAGGCCCTGTTTGCAAATAAAATAATTAGAAATAAAATTTCCAGTGTAGAACAATAATTAGAAACACCCAGGTACTTCTTTGTAAACACACTGTTCTGTCAAGATAGGCCCATTTCCCTAAAAGACCTAGTAGACTTAGCCATAATTAGTTAATACGCCTTCATATCCGCTCATCCTCAGCGTTCCCAGTCATGGCTGGACAGTGATAGCAGGTGTGTGAGGGGAGCCCCATGGTACTCTCATTGCTCATGTGTCTCCCTTTGTGTCTTGCTCCCAGGATGATGGTGCAGGGCTACCGCCAGCCCCTGGAGAGCAATGACCTCTGGTCACTGAATAAGGAGGACACGTCAGAAGAAGTCGTCCCTGTGCTGATAAATAACTGGAAGAAGGAATGTGCTAAGTCAAGGAAGTGAGTGTCACGTCTCTGTGTTCTCTCAGGCAAGGCAGATGAGGCCTAGGCTGACCTGTTACCTTCCTTTAGCCACCTTGGCCTGAATCTCTTAAGTTTCTTGGTTCTGGGGAAACTCCATCTCCTCCCTAGACTGCAGTTTCTCCTTCATCAGATGGGGTGGAGTGGGAGTGTTTAACATCAAAGGGAGCTCCTAGCAACTCCCTCCTGTGTTGTTTGTAGGTTACATCTTGTTTTTGTTTTTTGGGTTTTTTTTTTTTTTTTGGTTTTTCAAGACAGGGTTTCTCTGTGGTTTTGGAGCCTGTCCTGGAACTAGCTCTTGTAGACCAGCTGGTCTCGAACTCACAGAGATCCACCTGCCTCTGCCTCCCAAGTGCTGGGATTAAAGGCGTGCGCCACCACCGCCTGGCTGTAAGTTACATCTTGACATCACTGATGGGTCAGCTTCCCAGAAGGAGAGCAGAGGCCATCTGCCAGGCTGGAACTTGGTTCTGCTGCTGTGTATGTTCTGCCCTCCTTACTCGGTGTCTGAAAATCTTTCTTGAATGTTGTTGCTGGATTGAATTTTTATATTCTATTTCTATATTTATTCCTGTGTACATGTGTGGGTGTGCCTTTGCCATAGCATGCAGGCCAGAGGTTCTCCCCTTCTCCCATGTGGGGGATCGAACTCAGGTTGTCAGGCTGGACAGCGGTGCCACTGAGCCTCCATTTTCTTCTCCGGGTTTTCTGAGCAGCTTATGAGATAAATGTTATCTGATGGACCATGCCTCAGTGCTGGATCAACCCTGGGCAACTTTTCTAGACAAGTTGTGTTTACTCACTTGGGGCAGCTTTGGCCTGGAACCTTCTGTTTTGCTGGAGAGGGTGTGGCAGGAACTGGCTCACTAGGCTTGAAAGCTGCCACCCAAAGACTGACTCCATGAAGACTATGACCTTCAGGGATGCTCATTGTTCTTTTTCCCAGAGGTGTGAGCACATTACACACCTGTGGATAGGGAGAGGTAGGGGACAAATCTTGTTGGGTCAGAACTTGGCAGGGCCACTTATCCAGAGAAAAGGTGTAAGCTGAGATGGATTCTGGGCTGCAGGGAGTTCTGCTTGTCCAGGGAAGTGGTGAGAGAAGCGTGGGTTGGGAAGTCTGCCTTGGTTTCTTGGCCCTAAGTGGCTCCTTTGGAAATCTAGTCTGCCCTGCCTCCTGCTCCTGTCTTTGTTTCTGGCCCAGTGCTTCCCTGGTTTGTGATAATACTTTGTGTTCTCCTCAGCCTGTGCTCCCCTTATATGTGAGGCTGTTTTGGATCATGTTTCCTGTTGGCATGACTATCAAGTGATTCAGTGGCTGTGGAAAAGAGCTTGGGTGATGTTTTGTTTTGGTTTTGAATTAAATGTAGTCACTTACCTGTTGTCATTCTATCCCTAGGCAGATGCCCAACAGAACTGGAAACTTAGGTTCTCATAAGGCTTGTATAGACTTGTAGCTGCCTTGTTTGTGTTAGCCCAAAATAGAATCAAACCCAAACACCCATTAGAATGTAAGTAGAAATTAGAATCACTGCTCAAAGCTGAGGGAGAAAGCGCAAAGCTCTTATGCTAAATGGAAAGTGGACAGGTCCTCAGCCCTCTAGTATTCTATGCCTAAATGGACAGTGTGCCAAGGCCAGTGTATCTAATTAGGAAAATCAGTCTGGAGAGATGGCGCAGTGAAAGTACCTGATGCTCTTCCAAAGGATTCTAGTTTGATTCCCGACACCCATGCTGGACAACTCATAGGGCTTTAGGTTTATTCAGGACATCTTGAGGAGATGGAAGAAGTGTCAGTCTCCAAGCTCCATCTTTGGGAACTCATGGCTCAAAGAGCTCTCATAGAGAGGGATTGAGTTCCACATCTAGGCTTGATGACCATCCTTGTCATTTAAAAGGGAGTATTTACCTTCCTCTCAATTGGAACATTCTCTGGATTACCACTTATCTAGTCTCCTGAGTCAGTTTCTACTTCTTTAGGTGAACACATTATTTTCAGGGAAGTGAGATATTTTTTTTAATTTTAGAACAGATGAACAAGTCTTTAGCCTCGCCCTTTGATCTTATTTAAAGACCACTGCTGTTCCATGTTCTGACAAATGAAAAACATTCTTTTAGGAGGTTTGGGGACCAAACTTTTCTCCTGTAATAGTTGACTGTAATACCTCATGTCTCAGCTGTCATAAGGTTTTTGTTGTTGCTGCTGGTTTAGAAGTCACAGCACCAGGCAAAGGGGAACAGAGTATCTTTTCCAGAGAGAAATTTGTAAAGAATGGCTTATCTGAAAATAGGTAGTATAAAACAAAATGAAGTAGCTATTAATTACTCTACAGGTGATGGTTTAAAAGACTGAGATATGCTCTTCCCATACCTATAGTTTTAGATACCTGTGATCAAACATGATCTGAAAATATTACATCTAAAATTCCATTCTTAAGGTTTAAATTATGCACTATTCTTGTTCCGTCATATTCTGTCACCCCGGGTATGAATTGTCCTTTTGTCTATTGTGTCCACACTGTACACACTACCCACCTGCCAGTATTAGGTTGGTGGTGCTTTTGGGAGAGTGACCTTAGGTAGCAGCCTAAAGCTGCATCACAGAGCCTGCCATTTGCCTTACTTCATCTGTCATCTCTTAGTATCATAAGAAGGATGAGGACAGAATAAAAGATGCTTTGAGAGTAACAAAACATGACGATATCGTGTCATTTTTATTATAAATGTCTCTTTTTTAAATTTTTGGTTGACTTATAGGTTAAACTTTTATCAGAGGTATTTGTAAGAAAACATAGGTTATAGTATCCATGGATAAGAGAGGACACTTTGTGTTTAAATGTGTAAGAACACAGTCTGTATAGACTTGTGTCTGCAGATGGAGGGAAGAGTCTAGACTTAGGTGACTTCAGACTGGCATTTCACATGTGTGGATCCTGCTGGGGTATTTGTCTTCTACATTCCTGACTGGCCTATGTAGGACAGGGCAGAACTACAGAACCACACAGGAGGATGGTCACTGTGCTAGTCATTGTGACCACCTGAGGACTTAGATTTATGAAACAAGGCTGCTTGAAAGCTTGTGTAGCTGTGGTGGTTTGTTTTGTGGTGCTGGAGGTGGTGTCGTCTTATTTTGTTTTACTTTTGAGATAAAATTTTGACATATAACCATACCTAGGCAGAACTTCAAGAGTCTCCTACCTCCATCTGCCAAGTTCTGGGACTGTGTGTGTAAACCATGCACAACAGGATTTGTAGTTCTTAGCTTCTGAGTGTAGAAGTTGGATCCATTCTAAGTACATTTCTGTGGGGCTGGAGAGATGGCTCACACTGCTCTTATATAGGACCAAGATTTGGTCCCCAAGATTCAGATACACCTGTAACTCTGGTTCCTAGGGATCCAACACCCATTTCTAGCTTCCACAGATACCTGCACTCACATGGTGTGCATAAACTCATACACCTGTAACTCTGGTTCCTAGGGATCCAACACCCATTTCTAGCTTCCACAGATACTGCACTCACATGGTGTGCATAAACTCATGTAGGCAAATGCACATGCACATAAATGAAAAACTCTTTCATTTCTGTACAGTGTGTGGTCATAGTTTAGCTTATTCTCTGCATGTGGCTGTCTAGTTTCCTACCACTTCTGTTTGTTGGTTTCTTTTGCCTTGTTTTTAGAGAGGTACTTACTGTGTGGCCTACGTTGTCTTTCTATTCTTGATAGACCTCCTGCCTCACTTCCCAAGTGCTAAGATTGTAGGCATGACCCATCTTGCCTGGCCCATCACCAGTTTTTGAAAAGACTCTTTTATTGCCAATGAATGGGCTTGACAAAAATCACTTGTTTCTGGATTTCTTTCTTCTTCTTCTTGGTTTTTCTAGATAGGGTTTCTCTGTGTAGCCTTGGCTGTCCTGGAACTTACTCTGTAGACTAGGCTGGTTTTGAACTCACAGAGATCTGTCTGCTTCTGCCTCCTGAGTGCTGGGATTAAAAGTCTGCTTCTGAATCTTTAATTTTTTGGACCTTTAGTTCAACTACACCGGTCCTTTGTAACTTCCTTGTGCCTGTCTTGACATCACAGTTTGAATTGAGTAGTATGAGGCTCAGCTTTATTCTTCTCTTAAGGATGATTTTTTTTTAAAACTCATCTGGGTCTCTTGAGTTCCCATTACAGGTTTAGAACTGATCCATTGTAGGAAAAGAGGGCTGCTTGTTTGTCCTGGCTGCCTAGAACTGAAATAATCACACAGAAACTATATTAATTAAAACACTGCTTGGTCCATTAGCTCTAACTTCTTATTGGCTAACTCTTACATCTTAGTTTAACCCATTTCTATTAATCAGTGTATCGCCACGTGGCAGTGGCTTACTGGCTAAGTTTTGGCCCATGTCTTACTCTGGCAGCAGATTCATGGCATCTCTCTGACTCTGCTTTCTTCCTCCCAGAATTCAGTTCCATCCACCTCCCTAAGTTCTGCCCTATCAACAGGCCAAGGCAGTTTCTTTATTCATTTATGGTAATCACAGCACACAGAGGGGCTCCCACATCAGTCTATTGCTGTGGGGAAGCCAGTTGGACTTATGAGAGGACTTGTGTGTCATATGAGCTTAGGGCTGCCATGCTACCAAGCTTTTCAGTTATATCTACTTATTCAGTTTGCACACCCACCTCATGAGATAGACAGAACTTTTAACTTATTTGGATAGAACCTCACTCACTTTATTGCTCTCTCTTTTTTTTTTTTTTTTTTGCCTCAAACTTGTGATCTTCTGTCTCAGCTTCCCCAGCACTGGGGCTACGGTCATGCACTGCCACACCTGGCTTACTATGAGCCTTGTTTTGCAAAAGAGGAAGTGAGCTTTAGTGTGCCTGCAGCTGCAGCCAGCCAGCAGATGGCCCAGGCAGGGTCACACCTCTTTCATTAAGATGCTTCTCTTCTATGGTGACTGTCTTGGGTTCTGCTTTTTACTCTTGACTGTGGGTTGCCTCTCTGGTGGACCCAATAATTGTTTTACCTTCGTTGTGTTACAGACAGCCTGTGCAGATTATGTATGCATCTCCCAAAGATCCCAGCAAGCCCAAGGGAAGTTCCCAGTTGGATGTGAATGAGGAGGTCGAGGCGCTGATTGTCAAGTCCCCCCAGCAGGACAAGGAGCCCTCTCTGTTCAAGGTGTTATACAAGACCTTTGGGCCCTACTTCCTCATGAGCTTCCTGTTCAAGGCCCTTCATGATCTGATGATGTTTGCTGGCCCCGAGATCTTGAAGTAAGAACTTTTGCCTGACTGCTTGGTTCCTCTTAAATACCTGGGTGGTCCTGCCATGTGCAGGATCAGACTCGCGGCCCACTCCCTTCACCTTCCCCAGTTTCATTTAGCTGCCATCTGAGTTGTAGCCACCTGCAAGCCACAGAAGCCTCCTGAATTCAAAGTTGGGAGAATGTGGGGTTGTCTAGAACAAGGATGTGCAGGCAGATTTCATGAGCCTCTGCAAACTGGAAACCAAGAAGACAGCAAGGGGGCCTCTGTCATCTTTCTCTCCATCACCTTGGTCCCAGTGTGCTCTGTTTGACCACCTTTGGGTGACTTGCCGGTGGGGAGATAGACCTATCAGTGTGGTGATCCTAAGGCAGAGGTCCCCGTTGTAAGAGGCTGGCACCTGGCAGTCATATTACCCTTGTGAGGTAAAGTGTTGTCTGACTTCTGTGGCTCAGGTGGAAATCACTGTGGTCACTTGGAAGTAATTCCCTTTGATGTATCACACTCTCCTCTCCCAACAGATTGATTATCAACTTTGTGAATGACAGAGAGGCCCCCGACTGGCAGGGCTACTTCTACACAGCTCTGCTGTTCGTCAGCTCCTGTCTGCAGACGTTGGTTCTGCACCAGTACTTCCACATCTGCTTCATCAGCGGCATGCGCATCAAGACAGCTGTGGTGGGCGCTGTCTACCGCAAGGTAGGCCAGGCACCCACACCGATCCTGTGACCTCAGAGTCAGGATGGCTGAGCTGGGACTCAGCAAAGAAATGATGGGGACCATGGGCCAAGGGTAGCCACCGCCAAGCTTTGTCCATTAACAAAGTGGTTCTCAGTGGCTGATGTGTGGGGTGTCAGTGAACCCACATGCTGCCTTTGGGTAGCTGGGTTTCTTAGATGGTTTGGCTATCTCTGATGAAGTCACGGGTGGAGATCTAAGTTCAGGGGCTGAGGAGGCTCACTAGGTAAAGTGAAAGCCTGACGATTTGGGTTTGGATTTCCAGAACCATGTAAAGAACATGACAGAACACGTCTGTATAGCCAGCAGTGAGATAGGAGGTGGGGACAGGAGAACCCCTAGTAGTACATGTCTGTATACTCTGCAACGAGATAGGAGGTGGGGACAGGAGAACCCCTGAGCAAGATAGCTTGGGTACAGTAATGTCTCAAACAATCTGGAAGTCTAGGACAACATCTGACCTCCACATGTGCACCATGACTGCTTAAGCCTGTATACACATACTTAAATATCGTGCAGTTTTTTTAATTTTAATTTTTTTTTTAAAGAAAAGCAATGAATGTTAAATCTTTAGTTCATTCCTGGGTTTGCCGTCACTCTCATCCCGGATTTGGACCAAAGAGGTAGTGTGATTCTTGGATAGCGGAGAACAAGCTTTAAATATTTTTATTTTGCCATGCTGGAGGTGCACATGATTGGCAGGGACTATGCCAGAGCCATAGCCCCAACTCCACTTTTTTTTTTTTGGTTGTTGTTGTTTGGTTTTTCCCCATAATTTAAATTTTTATTGAAAATAGATTTTTTCCATATAATATGTTCTGATCAAAGTTTCCCCTCCTCCAGTTTCTGCTAGATCCTCTCCATTTACCCAGATCACACCCTTTCTTTCTCTCTCTCATTAGAAAACAGGTAACTTCAAGAGACTTAGTGATCTTCCAGCCACTCGTGCCTTGGCCCCCGGGGCAGCAGCGCCACCTGACTCACAGGCTGGCAAGAGTGGCGGCTTCCTAGTGTTCCTACCCCTGTTACACTGGCCTGTTAGCTTGAGTCCTGGTGCATAGGCTGCAGCCCAGACCCGTGGGACCTTAAAGTCCAGTTTGCTGTGTTGAGTGGCACAGGTGTATTTTTTAAGTCTCCCCACATGATTGTGTACAACCATGCTTGAGAACAAGTGTCCTGGATAGATATCTCCTCTAGAGCAGCTTGCCCCTAACACATCAAGACACTTTAGGTACCACAACAATTTTCTGGGTAGAGGCCAGAGGCTGCCTTGCAGTCAGTATGCAGACTGGCCTAACAAAGCATTGTCTAGTCTCCAATGTCAGAGTGCTAAGGCCGAGAACCTTGTGTTGGAATTTGGGGCCAGCAGCATGGTCAGGACCTTTGAACTTCTTAGAAATCCCGATTCCTAGCCTACCGCAGACCTGCTGATCAAGAAAGCACAGGGTTCCACCCTCAGGTGACATGCCTGCCTACTGAGATGTGCAAGGCCTTGGTTTAGAAAGTACTCAGGATGGGGAGCAGAGAGATCAGCAGTTACCACTGTCCAGAGTCTTGTTCAGGGCCTGGGGACTCTTTGCCTTTACCTGGAAGTTCAATTCTTCCCCTCTTCTGTATCCCACAGGCCCTTGTGATCACCAATTCAGCTAGAAAGTCTTCTACGGTTGGGGAGATTGTCAACCTCATGTCCGTGGATGCCCAGCGCTTCATGGATTTGGCCACATACATTAACATGGTCTGGTCAGCCCCTCTGCAAGTCATCCTAGCCCTCTGGCTCCTATGGCTGGTATGTGTTTGCTCTTGGTTTCTTTGTGCAGGGAGGGCTGGCCTTGTCTAGGCACTGACAGAGAAGGTATGGATGGGAAAGAACATTTCTTGTTGTCACATATATTTTATTTTCTGTCCATTGGCCAGTTCCTGGTTATTTTATTCTTTCCTTGAGTCATCCAGGTTACTTTCTGTTACTTGATAGATATGCATTGCCATTTCTCTCTCTCTCTCTCTCTCTCTCTCTCTCTCTCTCTCTCTCTCTGTGCGCACACACAAAGGGTTCAGAAGTAGACCTCAGGTGTCCTCCCCAATCTCTTTCCACCTTATTCTTTGAGAGAGTGTCTCTTGCTGAGGCTGGAGCTCACTGACTAGCTGGGGTAGCTGGTCGATGAACTCTAGCCTTGTTTCTGCTTTGCCTGTCCAGCATTGGAATGACAGATGGATACTGCCACACCTAGTTTGGTCTTCCCTCCCTCCTTCCCTCCCTCCCTCCCTCCCTCCCTCCCTCCCTCCCTCTCTCCCTCCCAGTTTTCTTGAGACAGGGTTTCTCTGTTTTGCTTTGGAGCCTGTCCTAGAATTTGTTCTGTTGACTAGGTTGGCCTCGGACTCACAGAGATCCGCCTGCCTCTGCCTCCTGAGTGCTGGGATTAAAGGTGTGCACTACCACCGCCTGGCTGTTGTTTTCCTTTTGAGATGGGGTCTTGGTATATAGTTCATGCTGCCCTAGAACTTGCTATGCCTACCAAGTTGTCAGCAAACTCGCAGAGATCCTGCCGCCTCTGCCTTCACAGTGCTGAGTTAACAGACATGCATCACCATGATCATGTTAGTCTTTTCATGAAATATATGTAATTAATGACCTTTTATATGGTTAACCCACCAACTTTCTCCCACTCTACCCCTCATGTGAAACAAACTTATTTATTAGAACCTACATATATTGACCAAGAGTTCTTTGTTGTAAGGAATAGAAATCCATCTTAGCCCCTGAGCAGACAAGAGGAGTTGCAGGGGAGGAGTACTCATACTGAAACAATTCAGAGACCCCTAGGGTCCAGGAGATCTGCTGTGTTTAGAGAGCTCGCTTTCTCTCTTGTTATTTCTTGGCCCTGCTTTCTTTAATTGGTTTCATTCATAATGCCCTTGTGTCATCTTTATAGACAATAGCAGATGGCATTCATTGCCTTCATGGGTCTCTCCTAGGGCACTGTGATTAACCAGCTCAGTCCTCAGTCCTCTTTCCATCCCTGGATCAATGGCTGTGGCCTGGGAAAGAGAAGTCTCTGACTGGCCACCGTGAGTCATGAGTCCTCCCCGTTGCAGAAAGATGTGATAGATCCAAGACTGAGAAGATGGTGAGCCAGGAGGCTCCCAGAACAGCACGTGCCCTGTTCATTCCCCCATGAATTCTTTCTCTTTCTTTTCTTTCTTCCTGTTTTTTTCTTCTTCTTAGTCCTGAGGATGAAACTTAGGGCCCCTTTGTATACTAGGCAAGTGCTTTACCACTGAGCTCCATCGACAGCCAGAGGAATTACCCTCCTCACTCCCAGCTGATGGACCACCTCCCATTGCAGTCATATGTCACATTCACATGTGTGAGTGTGGACACACAGTGCTCGAGTGTCACGGCTCTAGGAGCAATGGGACCTGGGAGAATAGAACCAATAAACGAGGTAAACTAAAGCCTAATGCAGTAGCCAACTTTATTCAGAGCTCCAGACAATATATACTCTGAGGGTTAAGATAGGTCACATGAGTAAAGTTCTCATGAGTCAAGCTGTATACAATACCAAGAACAAGCCACATGTGCCAAAAACATGTTTTTCCATAGAGGCATGTAAATGATAATTTAAATAACATCAGCAAGCAATAATAATGAGTAATCTGAAGTAAACTCATTCCTACCCACTACACCTGGGAGGAGTAAAAAAAAAACCCACATTCCATGTTTTCAGGAAAATGTCTTGTTTTTTTGGATTGTTCTCACAAGCTTTCAGAAGTCCTATCGGAATCCATTCCTGGACCCTGCTCTGACACTTGAGGTTGGAGGATAACTTTGGATGTTGGGTCTCTTTGTTGTTCCTAACTGTGTATGCCAGGCTGGCCGACCTGCAGGCTTCCAGGTTCCCCCAGCTCTACCTCCCCTCACACTGGAGGTCTCCGGGTTTACAGATGTGTGTACACGGATCCTGAGGATCTGAACTCAGTCCACGTGACCTACTGACCCAGCTCCCTAGCCCTCCCTTTTTCTCCTTAGCATAGGAGTGAGTATGATATGATCTTCTGAGGTAGATTTTGGTCCTTATACTGTACTTTTAGACAGATAGCATTGGAGTTTCCATGGTGTTATACATGATCACACCAGCAAAAACAAACAACCCCCCACCAAAGAAACCAAAACCAAAGCAACAGCAATAACAACAGTCCATCTCCATCTGCTAAATGGAGTTTACATTTATTTATGTGTGCGTTTATGTGCCACAGCTCATGTGAAGGTCAGGGACAACTTGTGAGAGTCAGGATTGGCGGTTATCAGACTTGGTGGCAAGATGCTTGCAGACAAGCAGATGACCCCGTCTCCCCAATGAGGAGCTCCCGTGCTCACAGAGCCATCTCACTGGTCCCACTGTTTGTATAGAGATGAGTGGTGAACAAAATGCTTTGATGATGCAGCTGAGAAAGAAAAACAGCAGACCCAGGACTTGGCTGTTGGGGAGCAAGCCCTGCACTGCGGCTCCAGCAACACACACAAAATAGATGGCTAAATACAGATCTTCAAGTGGATACTGTGGAGTGCACCCTTTCCTAGGAACTGTAATCCATGTGAAAGGTTGAAAAGCCTCCATGGGTGGCTTGTGAGTCATAAAGAAGGTTCTGATGGAGGCTGGCCAGCCCTATACAGTAAGGCTGTCTCGAGACCACAGCAGGACTTCTTTACTCAGACCACCAACCTCACAGTGTAGGAAGGTGGCTGCTGAGGTTGCCCTGGAACTAGGCTGTCTCTTCCATTCTGGGTTCTATGACCTTGGGCATCTCCACACCTCCCTATGAGCACTCAACCTGTGTATGCTAGTCCCCATGCACACACACTTGTGTATCATACCCTGCTCAACAAGTACAAATAGACATGCAAATGCTTGTGTATCATATCCTGCTCAACAAGTACAAATAAACATGCAAATGGTTAATATATATATATATATATATATATATTACACACACACACACACACATATATATATATATTTAAAATCAGTGCATTTGACTGTAGAATGTTCTGCGAGCCTATGCTGGGAGTGTCATGAAGTGTGTGCTGTAATGTATCAGGGTCCCCAGAGGCTTTATCAGCCTTAAAAATGCCCTAATTGGACAGTAGAGTCAGAGCTGATTATAAAAAACCATCAGAGGTGCTAGGGAGATGGCTTAATCCATAAAAGGGCTGCTGTGCAAACATGAGGACCTGAATTTGGATCCATATTGCCCATGCAAAAAGATGGGCCCAGCAACACATGTCTATAATCCCAGGATTGGGATGAAGTGAGCTACAGGTTCATGAAACCACCCTGTCTTGAGAAATGAAGTGAAAAGTTGCTGAGGAAGACGCCAGAGTCAATTTGTGTGTGTGTGTGTGTGTGTGTGTGTGTGTGTGTGTGTGTGTATGTTTATATGTACACTTTCTCACCCATGTAGATGCATACACTCAGCAAGGATAAGGCACCCACGCAAGGGCACACAGCAACAGGTTTGAGTCTCTAGCAAGTCAAGGTCACAGGCGTAAAGCTGGGGGAGATGAGATGCTGCAACTCATCTCTGTGGATTCTCTGCCTGGCGAGTACAAAATGCTTCGCCTTCTAGAAGAAGGGAGGTGGTACACAGAAGCCACACTATTGGTGCCAGCTGAGTGGCAGGAAACCCCTGAAACCCAAGTCTTACAGTGTCAGATGCTAGCCAATCTGGTAGCCACCCTTCCAGCCACCGAGATTAGCACTAAGTCACCAGGCTAGACGTTAACTAGCCAGCACCTTAAGGCTTTTCTAAGATTCCAAAAGTCAAATTTACATAGCTTACCTGGTTCTCAAGAGCTTTGGATAAGGGATAGAATACCGGCATATTCATAAAAGGGTTGGGAGGACCCCAACTGAAAACGCTTGATGCCCCATCTTTGGGTAAAAGGAATAAATGACTGGCACCCTATTTGGTTGGTGGGGTCTGCCTGGACTGTGTAGTCCACGATAGATAATGTGAGTACCAGGGCTCTCTTCTGTGTCGAGTGACTAATTATCACCTGTCTTTCCTTAGAACCTGGGTCCTTCAGTGTTGGCTGGAGTGGCTGTGATGGTATTCATGGTACCCTTCAATGCTGTGATGGCCATGAAGACCAAGACCTACCAGGTAGGATGTCCATCTCCATGAATCCCCACCCTGAGCCCTGGCCTGGGTCTTTCCTGATGAAGGTTGCCCAGTTTCCTGATGGTCAGCCTCATCTATTCCAGGTTCCGTGATATAGGGACACTGCTTCCCACAATGGCTTGTCCTTAGAGTTGGCAAGTTTTCTAAAGGGCAGCCATGGTCAATGCCCCGGAGTTGGTTTGAGCAGGCAAGCAGAGACAAGCATAGTGACTGGGAGTCTATCTTCCTCCCTTCCTCTCTTCCCTCCCTCCATCTTTTATATTGGTTACTTATTTATAATACTTATATGTAATACTAACTTTTATTTTGAGACACACTTTTTAAAAGTGTTTTAACACAGTAAGTGCTTTTCTATTATACAATTTTAAATTTCTTAAGTTTATAGGTTAGAAGCAATGATATCCTGCATCCTACCTTCTTGGCCACTGTGAACACATTGAAGTGGATCCCTCCCTCCCTCCCTCCCTCCCTCCCTCCTTCCCTCCCTCCCTCCCTACCTCCTTCCCTCCCTCCCTCCCTCCCTCCTTCCCTCTCTCCTTCCCTCTTTGTCTTGATTTTATTTTGTAAACCGAGACTAGCCCCACTTTTCCTGTTCCTGCCTCAAATTGGAGGATTATAGACTTGCACTGCCATGCCTGGCATGGATCTTTCCACATGCCATATAATTTTATGTATAATTAGACTTGGTATGAAATTATGTGCTTTTTCTTAAGATTTAAAAGTTTTTTTCTCCTTTTATTGAAAATATAGTTTTCCCCTCACATAATATATCCTGATTCAGTTTCTCCTCCCTCTACCCTTTCCGGTTCCTTCCCATTTCATCTCCCATTAGATCCATTCCCTTTCTGTCTTTCATTAGAAAACAAACAGGCTTCTCAGGGAATATAATATAATATAATATAATATAATATTGTAATGATGAACGCTAAAGATAAAATAAAAACTAACTGGTTGAAATTGGATAAAACAGAAGGAAAAGAGCCAGAGAGAAGGCATCAGAAACAGAGACCTGCTTGTCTACAGACTCAGGAATCCCATAAAACACTAGTTTTTTTTGTTGTTTTTTTTTTTTGTTTTTCGAGACAGGGTTTCTCTGTGATTTTGGAGCCTATCCTGGAACTAGCTCTTGTAGACCAGGCTGGTCTCGAACTCACAGAGATCCGCCTGCCTCTGCCTCCCAAGTGCTGGGATTAAAGGCGTGCGCCACCACTGCCCAGCTAAAACACTAGTTTTATCATGTATTTTTAATCCAGTGGACATTTGTTATGGTAAGAGTTTTGTCATTTGACTCCATGCCCGCTGATCGTCCTGAGTGGATCTTGTGATCTTCACATCCCATGTTCTCAGTCTCCCACATTTCCCTGCCCCTGTTGTTGGGTGTGTGCTGTCCTTGGCCATACTTACGGGGTTTCAGGTAAGCTGACCATGATGGGAGGGTAGCCTTGTAGGCTGACTTCATGGAGCAGGCCAGTCAGCAGGTTTTGTCCTGGAATCAGTAGGCTTCCATGAGTGGCTCACCTTAAGAAGTGCTCCTATCTTTGTTGTCAGGTCTAGTTGTATATGGTTCCCCCATCTGTGACTTAGGGGTGACCCAGCCTGACTGAACATGGCTTGGCTGTTTTTGAAATGCTTAGAAAAGCATCTGCCATGGTGATGTGCCAAGTGGTTTTAAAATATTTAACAACTAAATGTCTTTGTCATGGCTTGTCAGGACTAGTGCCAGCCAGTCCTGGCACGTTTCAGTAGTTTAATGACCAGAGAGTGGCTGGAATCAATTACAAGGAAAGAAACCAACTGGTGTGGTGTGCTCTTGTCTGTTTAGCACTGGGAAGCTGAGGCAGGAGGACTAGGGGTTCATGGCCAGGGGGGCTATAAAGACCCTGTGAAAAAGAGAGAGATAGAGAAGGGAAGGCATAGGAGGGAGGAAGATAGGAAAAAGGAAGGGAGGAATAATTTATTCTCTCCTGGTATGTTAGCAGCATAAGGTGGCATCCCCTCTTCTCTGAATACCTGGAAGCCTTGTCTCACCTCCATCCCTCAACTCTGAGTTGGTCTCTCAGTTGAATTCAACCTGATTTGGAGAAGTTTTAACTTTTACAATGGCCTAGTCTTTTGCTGTGGTCTGGGAGCTGACTCTATTGCTCACGGAGTCCAAGGCCAGCTCTCCCAACCTCTGGGAGGAGCTCTTTCTAATTGTGGTTGTGCCTAGGGCCCAGGATGCTGATCTCTTCCCCTGTAGGTGGCACACATGAAGAGCAAAGACAACAGAATCAAGCTGATGAATGAGATCCTCAATGGGATTAAAGTACTTAAGTTATATGCTTGGGAGCTGGCCTTCCAGGACAAGGTCATGGACATCAGGCAAGAAGAGCTGAAGGTGCTAAAGAAATCTGCGTACCTGGCAGCTGTGGGCACATTCACCTGGGTCTGCACACCTTTCTTGGTGAGTGGGATAGTTTCATGATGGATGGTTGTTGTGTCTTGTGTTTTTAAGCCTAAATATTTGTAAGAATGTAAAAATCAGATTTATGAACTTGTGTGCATATGTATACGCAGAGGCAGAGGCCAGCTAGAGCTCTCTCTTTCCGCCTGTGGGCTCCAGGGATTGTACTCAGCTCATTACGTTTGAGAGCAAGTGCCTTTGCCATTAAGCCAGCATCTATATATTTTTCAAAGACTGCTCGTTTGGGGCTGGGGTTTAGCTCAGTGGTCTAGCATTTCCTTAGGTTTGGTGTCCTGGGTTCCAAACCCATCACTGCAAAGCTAACCAGACAAAATATTGCCATTTAAGCAAGGCCTCTCCAAGGCTGATAACTCTCATCCTGCTTTATTTGCAATGCTTGGCAGTCCTGCAGCTGTTACAGAATGGAAACCTGTGTTGTCAGCTTCCTTCATTGAGAAAGTCTCACATGAAAGCATGCTAGGCTTGGGATGATGGCTTAGCAGTGAAGGGCTTCCCTTGTAAGAATGAGTTTCTTTATGTGATCTCTAGCACCTTACGTTCAACAACAGCCTGAAGTGGTGGGGAGGCAGAGACAGCAGATTCTGGACTCTCTGGCCAGCCTGTCTAGCCTACTTACTGAGTTAAGGCAATTGACAGAACCTTTTTGCAGGTGGGTGGTGCCTAAAGATTGGCAGCAGAGCTGGGTATGGTGGTGCATGCCTTTAATCCCAGCACCAGGGAGGTCATCTCTGTGAATTTGAGGCCAGCCTGGTCTACAGAGTGAGTTCCAAGACCACTAGGGCTATTAAACAGAGAAACCCTGCCTCAAAAAACCAAACCAAATCAATCAATCCAAATCAATCAATCAATCAATCAATCAATCAACCATTCAAACAAACAAACAAACAAAAAAACCCCAAACCATCCAACTAAATAGAATGGCAGCTGAAGTTATCCTCTGGTCTGTACATGCACACACACATGTCCAAACACACACAGTGTTATCTGAACTAAACTGTATACTTGGTTGCCATAGCTGGTAGACACCAGGGGACTAGAGTCTTCTTGTTATTAACTGATTGCAAGCTGTGGCTTGTCAGTGCCCTAAGACCATGTGTTCAGTGGCACTGTCAGACACATTCTAAAATTACAGTGTGGTTTATTGCCTGTATCTGGAATGTCAGCTCAGAGAGGGCATCTGTGGACACCTGTCCCTGTTCCTCAGAGGATCTAAGGCTAACAGTCCATGGTAGCTCCCAGATCAGATAGGAAGTTCTAAAGTGTAGATGCATGCTGTCCTACACATCTCCATTGTGACAAATCCTTTGCTCCGTAGAGACTATTCTATTTATAAGAAAACAATGTCTAAGGTTATAGGTGTTTAAAGATACCTTTATGAGGGCTTTAGAGATGACTCAGCAGTTACGAACAGTCGATGCTCTTCCAGAACACTGAGTTCAGTTCCTAGTACTCAAAGTGGGCAGCTCACAACCACCTAAAATTCTATTCCTGGGGATCTGAAGTCCATCCCCTCTTCTAACCCGTGGCACACTCACATACATGTGGCACATACACAGACAGAAACACACACAGATAAATAAAATAAGATAAATCTTTAAAATAGTTTTATGTATTCTAGTAGAACTGTACTGTATGTATCCTGACATGCTTAAGACCCTGGATTTGTCTTCTGACAGGGACATGTCACCTATCCTTCCCTACCCTGTTAGCTGGCTCTGTCTCTGTGCACCGAAGCACCTTGCATTTCACTTCCTTGGCTTTCACACAGTAATTAAGGGTACTGTATGTTGGAAGGAGGGCCTGCTTGTTTGTCTTGGCCACCCGGCTAGTTTAGCCCCGAAATAACACACAGAAACTGTATTAATTAAATCACTGCTTGGCCCATTAGCTCTAGTTTTTTGTTGGCTAATCTTTACATCTTAATTTAACCCATTTCTGTTAATCTGTGTATCGCTATGTGGCTTACCAGGTAAAATTCCCAGCATCTGTCTCCGGTGGATCCATGGCATCTGTCTGACTCTGCTTTCTTCCTCCCAGAATTTAGTTCTGTCTTCTCTGCCTGTGAAGGCGTAAGTCAAACAATGCCACACCAGTATGGAATTATGATTAATAGAATGGTTATTTATTTAAAGGGGAAAACTTACAGATCACCATCCCAGACAACAGCCCTCTGCACAATCAGGAAGGGAGTCTAGTCACTGGAAGCAGAGCTGGAAGCCAGAGAGAGAGAGCAGAGGGAAGTGGCTGCTTTTTTAAAGGGAGAGAGACCACACCCCAATGGGCTGGTATCTCAACCGCTATTGGCTGAAGAAACGGAAGGAGCTCCCGCAACACCTCCCCCTTTTGTTTAAGTAAGAGAGTTCTTTAACCTACTATGAAATTATATACAATCAGTACAAATATTCTATTCTAACTAGCTTAAGTCTTATATAATAAATAACTTGGCCAAGTCATGAGTGGAAAGTAACTACATTTATATAGTCTTCAACCCCATCGAAGATCTGAGAAGGGAAATAATGTTACCTGGGTAATTAGGAAGTTCAGTAAAACAACTTCCAAAACATGCAACAAATGACAGAGACAACTAGCTACCTGGGCAATCACCCAAGGTCATTTTTGCAGCTTTGAAGCAACCAACTTTGGATAAGGCCTAACATAACTGACATACCATTTACAAAGGAAAGAAACTTGTCAAAACTATCTTTTTTTAAATTTTTTTTTTAATTTTTTTTTTTTTTTTTTTTTTTTGGTTTTTCGAGACAGGGTTTTGTCAAAACTATCTTACCCTGTCTTGGCAGAAAATGACAGTCCTGTTTTTTCCATTTACAGATTCTCTGTATCTCTGTCAGTGGTTGAGGTATGGGCATTTCTTTGCCCAAAGGCCAGTTCAGCCAAGAAGAAAGGCTCCAGGTGGAGCATCTTTGGTGCTCAACATTCTCTTGGGAATAGATCGGTGTTGCCAGGAGCAATTGTGTCTCACTACCACAAAACTCTGAGTTAGATTAAAGGCCATTTTCTACAACTCTTTGAAGAGGTTAAAGATTATCTATCTATATTGAGTATAATCTCTATGTATCTAAAGAACCTGATTAGTCTAATTATAAATGACAAACTTAGAATACAATTGATCTATATAATTCTCAATACCTATCTAACTTAAAGACTAAGACAATAAACAACTGTGAAACAAATGAGGACAGTGACCTCCAAATATAAACAATTGCAAATATACATTGCAATATGGTAAATATATATCAATACACAAACAATATATAAGTATCTTAATGAGAGGTAGAAATGTACACTGCAATATGGTAAATATACAGTATCAATACATAAAAATGTTTTAAACAGGTAGAAGCATGCATGCATACAATAGTCAATATAATTTAACTTTGTATCAATATATAAGAATCTATACCAATATATTTGTCTCAAAACAATAACTCACAAGTACCAATAAGTACCAATCTATTATCCCATCATCCAATTATCCCTCTTTTTTTTTCAAAACATCCCTGAGCTTATAAAATTCCTCCCCCAACCCCCCAACCCTCAACTGTATACTAATTATAATCAACCCCTAAATGATGTCCCTAAACCCAAGGGCAAACTTTACTGGGAGAGGGAACGTCGTCCTCTAGAATTACTTCCAGCTGTCATGGGGGCGACGTTCTTTCTGGGGGATCCTGTGAAAGTAAAATGATGGTTAAATTTCAAGATCAATGTCTTTTAAAATTGCAAATAGTCTCTGAGTATTTTGTGGAGGTCTGGCCAGAATGTTGTACAAGATGTGCACCATTTCAGCTAACCAAGTTGGGATTGTCTTGTGCAGCTGGTACCCAAAACAGGTCTTGTAGTAGCGCTATCAGTATCATGACGTCATATCAACCAGGTGGAGTTGTTGTTATGGGGCCCCATCTTCTTCCTGGAAACTTCAAATGTCACTTCAGGAAAAACTCATTGTTCATTGTGAAAAACTTAAACATTAATCATATAGACATTTATAGACATACATATATTCAATGAAAGGCATGATAGATATATTCAATGAAAGGTATGATAGATATGAAGAAAAGCAAAGATGTTTTCTAAACTCATATTTCTTTCTGTCCCATATCATGGCTCTTGACATGAGACAGAAACTCCAAAAACTCTGGGTTTTTTTTCTTACCAACAGGGTTGGAATTGGAGAGGGACTGAGCCAGAGTCCAACTTCAAAACTAGCTCTATATATTTATAAATAAATGCACATTAATACATATTTAAAGACAAGAGTCGAATAGTTTTACTTACGGAACCTATTCAATTTTCTTGCCACTTCTTATTGGGTTGTAAATAGTTTCCATCTGTCAGTATTCAAACATCCAGGGTCCCTTGAATTTTTTGAAGATGAGTGTTTTCCTGCAGAGATAAGAAGAGAACTCTGCCCCCATTCTATATGTTTTTCTTAACCACTGGTATGAATATCATCATTGTGGATGAATTGTCATTTCTCCTTTCCAAAAGGTTTCTCCTCTTCGAATCGAACCTTTATTAATTTTGATGGTATCCACAATTTTTCTTCTCCTGTGGAAACAAGAGCAAAACCCCTTCCCCAACGTAGCACATCTGGCTTCCATTGAGAGGTCAGCACATCTTTGAAATAAATCGGTTGACTTAGTTCAGCAGACTTTTCCATTATCCAATGTCTTTCTGCCGCTTTTGTTCCTTTCTCATTAGCGTTAAGAAAATTCAAGGTTAATAAAGCATTATGTAATCTATTTCTGGGGGTATTTTCGGTTCCTTTCTGTTTGTTCAGCATATCCTTTATAGTACGGTTTGATCTTTCTATAACCGTAGGATTATTTGGTATACCTAGAATGTGTTTTATGTCATAATAAGCAAAAAAGCATTTCATTTTCTTAGATACATATGCTGGACTATTGTCTGTCTTTATTTGTACAGGTATACCCATGATGGCCATAACTTCCAATAAA